CCACAAAACCTGTGAGTACTTATTTTATTACCCTGCGATGAATCGCGCAAAAATTTCAGTTGATAAAATTAAGCATAGATTAAGAAATCGTGCTTTACACATGTTAAAGAAAAGGGAAGAAAAACATCACTTCACCACTAAAACCATGGATCGACCAAGAAATGGATCATATTTGAATGCTAAAGAACCAGTTTAATAATTATGTAACTTTTTTAAAGCACTAAGTACAACCTGCATAAGGCGCTAGGGAATAATAAAAGTGGGCTATAGGTCCACCCATTAGCAACTGTGGAAGAAATGCCCTAAAATTTAATAAATAACGAAAGTTTTAATGCAACAGGACGTCAATCATCCAACGTGGAAAATAGGCTTGAATGGGATATTTCTTGTCTCATAATAGTTTGTGATGAATTCTGAATTTGGCAAGATTTAGGCTAGAAGTTCTACCCTTAATTGGCATAAACCTACCATTGGTAAATTATTTTTCGATTTAAGAACCCGTACAAAGAGGTGACTTCTGTTCTGCTCAGAATTTAAAGAAGTTTAATCTCTCTGGTGAAGCACTAACCACTAAAGTAGAAAATTATGCCATTGTCATTCGAGCTGCGGGCAGTATTTAGCACTGAAAAATTAGCTGTCGAAGCTTCTTCGAGTTTATATGAATTTACATCAACTGTTCACAATTGTTCCAAGGTTTTTTATTCCACAAGGCATAATTGCAATGTTTATTTTAATAATACAAGTTATTACGTGGGTCTATGTAGTTTCGCATGTATCAGCCTCCGACGATGTCATTAAGATCTTGTTACACTGTTCCTGGACTGCTTGTCTATCAGTCCTTCTGTCCGCGCATACTACAGCTATCTCCAGGCTTTCACAACTAGTCTTTTAGTCCTTCTGTACTAAATTCACCTGCGAAATCCACCTCATGAAATATCTTTGGGAAGGACCTAGTGTTGAGAAAATCATAATTTGCGAAAAAGGATTCAAGCCGATGGAGCTTAGTAAAGCTTTATTAATTGTTCGGAAATCAGTCGAGTTACGCGGATCATTTTTCTAACCATCCATCAAACAATTTTTCTAACTTCTACTGAGACTTCTCTTTCGTGGAAACGCGTCAGAAATACACAACCTTCTAACAAGAGAGCTCACTTTGCTTCTATCGGCAAGTGCATTGAGTAGCTAATTTCCCTTTATGCTATTTTTTTGTTACCACTTACCGGTTTGTGTATTATTTTCGTAATAGTCCTTGTAGATGACACTTTTTCCTCTACAGCAGAACACTCATCCGAACCCAACACTAACGCAGCAAGTCAAACGTGCCCTTCCGCGGTTGTATTTAAGAAAAATATGCTCGTTGTAAAGTACTGTTGACTGGCATTCCTCAAACGCTTAAAATGTCTTTATACACTCAGATACACGTTTTGCACCGGACCTAAGGTTTGCGCCTAAATGCATAATCATTCACAACTTGAGTTTTTTGGGTGGTCCTGTTGTAAGTATATACCAGTAAACAGTAAGCCGTCGCCCCAATTGGTGTAAACATTTACACAATTATAAATTAAACGGTGTCGAACCGGAGCCGTACCTTCACGCATATGAGAAATCGGAAAAAATAGACCCTTGTGCCATGACCTGCGATGATGGACTGGCCTAAAACGTAGCACCCGAATTCATTCTGATCAAACAACCACATCAGGTGCTAAGGTTAAAGACCACCGGAAAAAAGCATATGTTTAATCAATGATAGTATCAGTGTCGTAAAGCCGGACTAAGGTAATGAATGCATTAAAAAGCATCGTATTAAGGCCGCCCACATTCGAGTATAACAAGAGAGCCAACTTGAGTGAATACAATCGCACTTAACTAGCACAGGATGGAATGAAGCTTCTTAGAATGCATACCGGCAAAGTTCCCAAGCGCAGTATCGCAGAGGCAGCGAAAGAGCTGACCATTAAAAGCAGGCTTCGTCGAAGGCAGACACTGAGCATGGTTGGCACAGGGTTTGCTGTCGCAAGTGGGTGGTGGCGGTAGTGGTTCAGCCGCAGAGTCCAGCACAGGTAGATCGCACCGAGGTCCAACCCAGCCCGCATCACAGATGCACTGATCCGCCTCGCAACGACCGTGAGAGCCGCAATCGAGTCCGAAACAGGCCACTCTTGATTCGCAGAAGTTCCCTATGGTACAGACATGACACCATAATGCCAGCGGTGGAGTTAATTTAAACTGGTTTAATAAGTGATATGTAATTCGTAGCTTAATACAGCAAGAATATCTGAGGAACCTTGACTTGCTAATATTTCAAATATAATGATTCGTTCACTCCAAATTCTTCAAATATGGCCAAAACTCAACATATATGAGGTTCGACATTGGCAGTTCTTAGGTTGTCTTTAAGGTGAAGATGAACTATAAGTGCATTACTTTAAATGCGATGTCGTCTCGTGACTTGCCCATTTCGGAGATTAATCCAGCAAACTTAGGCCGCTCCTCTTTTAAGGCAAGTCACTTGTCGGACAAACAACTCAATCATTCTGCTTGATCAGTCCCTGGTTTTGTGCCTACTTAACCAAGAATCACCTCTGTTTAACTCAATCCACAATTCTATTCAAGAACACTCTTCTTTTATAGTAACCAAAGTAGCCTCAATTAGTAAAAAAAGGCTTAAACATCATTTAAAAATGGACCTTGGATTCCCAAACATCCTCCAATCACAAAAAAGTCAAAGCCCGACCAAAGATAGTGTAGGTCCTTAGCATTAGAGATTGCATTACACTAGGTTTTAACAGTCAGCTGAACACCATAAGACATTGTTATGCATTTTAAACAATAGGCTGAATATTAGGTATTCCGCGAGACTGGACCAGGCCATGGAAGTTTTGATCAGTTCGATCCAGACAGCTTCCTGTCGGAAGAGGTGTTCTGGAATCACTTGAAGGTTGAAAGCCAAAATATCTGTTTTCTCATCATCTTTTCCCCCACACTTGCTCCTAGATCAAATTGTAATGTCTTCGTGCATTTTAAGGCCGTGTAATTTTGGATGTTGACTCCTCGTCATTGGGTGAAGACTACTTAGTGACTACGAATTCCCTGAATAATCGAGGAGGAAGCAAGATAAGTACAAATTTCTGCATATTTGTATACATAAAAAAAGGGAGTAGAACATTCACTTGGACATGTGTATGCGAGTGTGTGTTAGCGCAGTGGTGCTTGCGATGCATTTCAGTGACAACGCTGGACCCTAACTGGGTCATCTAACTGTTTTACCAGTCTTTTTCAACCCCACACAATAGCCACCTGCATGTGTGCATTCACACACACACACACACACACACAGCGTCATTCCAACTGCCAAACCTCAGGAAGTACGATTTGTGTATCCACTCGCCCTCGCCCACCGCGGACTCTCATCGTCCAATCTTCGCTACCTCGGATTCGGCTATGATCATTTGTCACTGACTGTCTCACCTGTCAGAACCGATTTTTACTCAAGTAAACTGTTGAGTGCCAGCATTTGTGAAGCTGGTAGTAAAGCAAAATCTTATCCGCAGTAATTTGGCAGTTGATTGGTTCATTTGAATTTACACTTTTTGATAAAATAATAACTACAAAATGAAACAATTAACAGAGAACAGGATTTCAACGAAGCGTAAACAGTCAAAGATCCAGTTAAAATGCACCATCTTTGTGAGTCCATGTCTATGTTTCAAGTCCACTAATGCCCTGTTCTCACAACTTCATCCAATATCCCAGCGGTTCTGAGGTTACATCCTTTCCAAATATCGTCTCGAAGTCTCTATCGTTTAAGATCAGAATGCAGTAAGCGCACTACCGACGACCACATATCATGAAAAATATTGGGTCTGTCCACCAGGCTCAAAAAACAATGGACGAAAATCACGTCAAATTGAAAAGGGACAATGGAATCAGTGGAACGTTTCATTGCCAACCATTAGAACATACGATGAGAAAATGGAGTAGGAGGTGTTCATGCAAGTCCTTCTGTCATGCACGACTCAGGCATATGTGACTGAACACATTCATTATCATATTGCCTACTTATAATACTTGACTATTTATTTGTCCTTACCCAAACTCCCAGGTCTACTGCACTGCGAATTGTCAGCAGGGGCGCTCGCCACCGCCACACCGAGGCCGCTCCTTATTGTCGGCTATTAAGGTCATTATGGTCAGTGTGAATAGACTACCTGAAAAAACCCACGCAGTCGGTCAGCCGGTCGCAAAGCCTGCCAAGACTGATGACAGCTTTATTTATTTGAAAATGTTTTGAATCGCTCTTGTTGAAACAGCCAAGTTTATCTACCTGCAATTATAGCTTTTAACTGCAGCCTGCATTCTTGCATCGAAACAAGTAAATTTCCATTCCCCTTCCTTTTGAATTAAACAACCCTTTTTCAAAACCAAAATGGCGACAGTTAAAAACAAATTATGTGGACAGTGCAGGTGCTGTTATACAGAAAAATAGAACTCTGGAAGAATATACCGAAATTATGTCTTATTTCAATCTAAAGACTTATTTTAATTCGGAAGGACAAAATTGTCTTGCCATCTCCTGGCTCAAATCATCGACACTTTCTGCACGTCAACTCAAAGTGAAAGACATTCCTAGTCCCCTAGCCGCAAAACCAATTAAGAGTGGTAGTAGTAAAGACGGTATGGTGATGATACACATGCCTTATGTGATTAATTCCTCCTTGTGTGTTCGCATGCAGGCTGCAAGTCGTTGACGCTGCTGGGCTCCCAATGGGGTCAGTCATTTCATCTTCCACCAAACACACACACACACAGCACAACACATCTGCACACGCGTCCACGAATGCCAAAGTGATGGTTCCATGGGCCCACATCCACCCACCAAAATCCACACGTTTCCTCCCCACCCCTCCTTCGTTGTCGTGTTGAAGCCCAAGCAGCAGAAAACAACGGTATAGGCACATAGAACCTTCGGCAGAACCCCACGCAAATCAATAAGGGGAGCGGTGAAGTTTGAGATCCCTTTGGTGTGAGGTCATGAAATGGGAAGGTGGGGCGGGTGAGAGGGAAGGTAAAAAAGTGATGTTACTGTTGTGTGTCCGACATTGGGGCAGGCGTGACTCATGCTGCATTGGCAGCAAAACAATGAACGCCTTCCCTGTCCGATACCACCTGTGAGAAACAAATTTGGATCTTCTGCAAAGCAGTCAAAAATCATACCCTCAATATGTTGCCGCCTACACAATTTCGAGTCCATTGGAAAAAACGCACAAGTAATGCAGACATCGAGATTAATTATTATCAAAACCAAGCATCCTAGAGGCGATCCTCACTTAGAAGTTACGTTTGAGATCTGCATTCTACTGCTACAGATGGATATTGGATTTATGTGCATTACCATGAATGAAATCCTCTCCAGTGCCCCATAAATCTACCTATAAGCCGATAGTATGAACCAGTGATATTAATCCTCCAACTTTCCTGTTTTTTGATGCTAAACCTACTTTCAGACAGGAGCGCCTTATTTCGCCTTCAGGTCTGACTCTGCTGCCATACTACTTGACGGCCCTCTGACTCTGAGGGCTACCTTAAGGACGACTAATCACCGCTATCAGAACAAAAGAGCGATTTGCGATTGTAATCTGTACCGTCAACTTTGGGACAGCGCAGACAGTTTGATTTAATAATAAGGCTGCTAGAGTGAATTTTAAAGAGATCACAGGAAATTATCAATCAAAAATCAACCAGCACTTTTAATTATCATTGAGGTCCTCAGTCGGTGCTAAGTTTGAGCGCTGGTATTCGTGATCTTCCATCTATCTTCGTTATTCCAGAGACACAACTTTCAAAGTCGTCGTCGCTTTGTGGGGTATAGGCAAAATACTGAACAAACGATGATGAGAGAATTTTCATTAGACATGTTCCTTAGCACCTGTTTCAGAATCACTATCTCCGTAGTCAAAGATAATTTGGGAGTTAACTTTCATTTTACAAGAGCAGCCTAGCTCGAGTTAACTTTCTTTCATCCCATCCCGATTCCATTCACAAATGTGTTACTTCATCTGGCCAACTCAGCGGTATCAAGGAGTAATGAATGGAGAAGTTCCGTGCCATCGATACGTCATGGACAAGGAACAAATGTTTATGACAAAGATAGGAAAGGTGTGTAGATGTACACCAGCCAACGAGACGGATCAAGTACTTTCCTTTTTATGAGCTACAGTTGAAAATCAGTGCAAGCACATAAATAACTGGACGCAGTGAGGTGCTACTGTTATGTGCTGGGCTGTACTGACTGTGTTGTAGCCGCCCAGTTGCAATTGAATAACAAATACATATGCAAGCGCACCCAGGGCACGAAAACAACTGTCTGCATTGCTGCGTCCATTTCAATATATCAATGTCGGCCACCAAACGTTACCCCCAACCCGCGTGCTTTCGGGTCTGTGTGCGTGTTTACGCAGTGAAATATCGGGTGCTTTTACTTTTAGCCCCTTACCTTTTTTCACTTTCTCGCATTCTTGTGTCAAACAAGGCAAAATCGGTTACTTTCTGAGATTGTAGAAAGAAGGAAAAAGTTAAGAAGTAGAGGAAAAGTTATGTAATAACCTCACATCACTACTTTCAGCCTTTTTAACCCGGTGTGCTGCTTAGTGTTTGATGCCCCATCTAAATACACACACACCCCGAAAGGATACTAAGAGGGAAGGGGGAAGACACATAGCTCTCAAAGTATCTCCCTTATACGCGGGTAGGGTGACTAAACGCATTTTGATTTCTCAGTCTGGTGTTCCGACCAAGCAGATATCGGATTTCGGGTGAGGCTTCACTGTCATCAAACTTCGAGGTGATCAACACCACCTGTCACTGACGTGCCAAGTAGGATTCTGCACGATCGGATTTCGGCTGCTAATGAGTTGACAGTGTTCTGTTGATAGCCAAATTTACACATTCGAATACGATCAGCCCTTCCTGGCCGCCGTTCTAATACAAATTAAGGTTTGTTTCACCTTCCCATTCGGTTGTAGAGAATTACCAGTCAGTGTGGACGGTAACTAGAGCGTAAAAAGCTATACACAGGGAGAAAACATTTGAGTGGATTGGTGTCCAGACATCGCTACAGCTGACTGGAGTAACTGGATTTCCATACCCTTGTCTGGCCATGCAGCCCATTTGAATCAAACTTGACCTGAGTGTAGAGATATGTACATCATCAACAAGAAAACATTCCGTTCCCTTAATGTCTACCACTTTTTGGACTAGCTAAATGGCACCTGGATCTAATTTTCTTGAGTATTAAACCTAGCAAAATAAGTTATCCTATCAACATCCTACTGAAAGAAAGTCACAGATGGAATTTAAACGATAAATTGACAGGAGTGAAGCTAATCAGTAGTGAATCTAATAAAGGATTTTGGATGACTTCGAAATCATACAATGCCATAATCACCATCCTCTACGCGATTCGGAACTAATGAGTAACTAGAAGAATCAAACTGCCCATTTGAAGTGTAGAGGTAGGTGATGAATTAAACTGATCTACTTGAACTTCGTAAAGTGGCATCAACACCTAGAGCTCTTGATCAAGCCAAACGCGAATCAAACTAACAGATACACTTTGGGCTTTAAAATACAAAAAATAACTATTTTTACACTCACCCTGGAAGCCGGGGGAACACTGGCAGGTAAAGAGGCTCTCAGACGAGGAGTGGGTGTCTACACAGGCGGCACCGTTGAGACGAGGCGGTCTCTAGAC